GACGGAAGGGAGGGAAATATTCCTTCTGTAAATATTTTCACAGCCCTCTTTCTGACTCCTGCAGTGTACAGGTCCTCAATGGAAGGCAGGTTGGTAGCCATTGTTTTTTCTGCAGTGCTGATTCTCCTCTGAAGTCCGTGTCTGCCTTGTTGGGTTGCAGAGCCAAACCAGACAGTTATAGAGGTGCAGATGACAGACTCAATCATTGCTCTGTGGAACAGAATCAGCAGCTCGAGGAATGAGCTATAATCATGTCAGAACCCAAACAGGTCCTGATTCATTCGTCAAAAAAACCAACCCCTTTGTTTGCAGGAAATTGAAGAATATTATGTGAAACCTGGGAAATTATTGTTGACCCAGTTACAGGAATCCGACCAGAGTTTTGAATCTTATTTTCGTGCCTCTGAAAGTGATATCACTTTAATCTCCTACGCCATAGAGGTAAGTGAGTGCTTCCTTTTCCAAAACTCTCGGTCACCAGGGCTTAATTTTCCCACTTTGGGAGCAAATAAACCAGCTGTGGAGTTTGATCCAGGCGCCCATTTTTCTAAATTTTCTGCTGGAAATGACCCGTTGCAGGATGTTTTTTTTTCCCCTTCTAAAACTGCATTTTTCTGGGAGAACCACGACATGCAGTTCTCAACTTACAACTGTTTGTTTACTGACCATTGGAAGCTACAACTGCACTTACAAAAGTCAATTGGGACTGTTTTTCACACTTAACGACCATGGCCGCATCCCTGCGGTCACCTGATCCAAATTCAGATGCTTGGCAACCGACTCGTATTTATGAAAGTCGTAGTGTCCTGGCGGGTCACCTGATTCCCTTTTTGCGACGTTCTGACGAAGTCACAAAATGGGGTCAAATTCACTTTCTCTTGCTTAGCAAACGTAGAAATTTTGGGCTCAGTGGGCGTCGTAAGCTTGAGGACTATCTGTAGCTTGGTAAGAGACATTTCTCCATGGAAATCTGAAGTGAAAACTATTCCAGTTGAGTATCCTAAGCCTGCCTTTAGTTTAGTTTTGTTTACTTTATTGTCATCGCACGTGGTACAGCGAAATTAAATGTACATTGTAACTATCAAAATAAAAACACAAACGCACATCCTTTAACTTTCTGTATAATTGAAATTGAAAACCTGATATTGCATTCATCTTGCCCTATACCGTAGACTTCAATAGGGTTACTGCCCTGGAATAGAAGCTGTTTTTTCCAGCCTCTTTAGCCTTGTTTTTATTGTCCTGTACCGTCTGCCAGATGGTAATAGTTCAAAAAAAAGGGGGTGCCCAGGATGAGATGAATCTTTAAGAATGTTTTGAACTTTCTTAAGCCAGCGGGAGCCATAAAGCTCTTCCAAAGAGGGTAGGGGGCAACCCATGATCCTCTGGGCAATGATGTTGACCCTCTGGAGCTCTGTCCTATCTGCCACTGGGCAACTGGCAAACCAGACACAGACGCAGTAAGTTAAGATACTCTCTATGGTGCAGCGGTAGAAGGTCACCAGCAGTTTCCCCTTCGGTTGTTGTTTCCTGAGAAGTCGTGTAATCTCTACTGGGCCCTTTTGACCAGGGCTGCAATTGTGAGTTGCTCCAGGTCAGCTCCTCTTCTTATGACAACACCCAGAAACTTAAAACTGGCCACTTGCTCCACTCGGTCTCCCTTGATAAGCAAGGGCTGGATGTCTGATATATTCCTTCTGTAGTCCACTATAAGCTCCTTGGTGTTAAGGACCAAGTTATTGTCCAGAATAAAAGGAGAAAGAGAAGAGGAACGTGTTGACTAGCTGTCTCATCCCTTCTTTCCAGGACTTTGAGAAAATGTGGGTCCTTCTCTTCCAAGAGAGCCAGCAAAGAAGGCAGTGGATTCGAGAACTGGATGAAGCTTTATGCCAGGCCGAGGTGACCCGAGCGGAACGGGTGAGTCCCGCTGGAAGAGGAGGGCTAAATTTATAAAGAGAAGACAGAGAAGGTGGGGGGGGTCAGTCTATCCTGCAAAGCACCTGAA